GTGACAGGGGCTTTGGCTTCTCTGTATCCAAAGTGCACCATTTATAGCTCACTGTAGAATTTAAATACTGGCTTCTCTCTCATGCCTAACTCTGAAAGTGAAATTTATGTAATATTTCAGCATATAAATGAAATCATCGTACCTCCCTGTTTTATTGTCACGGCAAGCTTGATTAAGATGTTTCCTTTGGTAATAAATGGGCAGAATGTGTTGTCCCCTGGACATTTAAAGGCCTTTTTATTGCAGGCTGCTTTCTATTTTACACACCACATTATAATTTCTTTCAGAGAATTTCTTTAGAATTATAGTTTTGCTCTGACATTGATTGATGCATGTTTACTTGGGTACTTGAGTTACTTGCTTACAAATGTATATGTGTAATATAAAGGTTTTGTGTGTGAGATGCTTCTTCTGGAGATAATATTAGCAACACAAAAATTGGGAACTGAGAAAATGCAGTTGTACTATAGGAAATAAAATATCATTTGGTTTTCTGTGAAGTAACTTTATGGAGTTCTGTGAAAAAGGGCAGTTTATTTTGATAATTTTGGGAAAAGACAAGGTTAAAAAAAATCAAAATATGTTAGTAATCACAAACATCTAGACCATTTGTTAATGAAAATTATGCCCATACAGAGAGTTGTAAAGTCTTGTCTAGTCTGTTTTAAGCAACACTTGAGCTGTGAGATACCCAGGTATTGTCTTTGTCAGAGCATCTGTGTCTTCATGACCCCTGGCTCAACACGGGCTCTTTATTAAGTAGCTAAGCTTTAAAGCCAGCTGCTGACCACATCTCCTGCAGAACTGTCATTTTGCTTTGAAGTCTCACCTACAATAGTACCAGTATATTGAGTAATGCAGGAGTGGCTTTAATGAGTGGTTCAATGTGAAAGATATGGTTTTGCTACTTACATAAATAGTAGAAAATACTACAGTTTTCTTTAAAACTGTCACTGTTCTACTGCTTCTGGCTGTTACTCTGAGTTTGTTTATGCTTTTAGAGATTGGTAAGATTTTAAACAGGTAGTACCACAAGACATTGCAGAGGGAAACAGAATACGAGAGCACGTTCTTATTGATTTAGGTTTAACAAATCATTCCTTATGGATCCAAAAGGGATTTTTTTTCCCCCACTTTAAGATATTTTCATTCTCACAACCATATTGGAGTTGGTTGTTAAACTTAAATACTTCATGATGTTTTTATAGTTATCGAGAATTTTTCCCAAATAAATTCCCAAGCTGTTGTCTTGGCCAAATCTCAAAACTAAAGACACGGTAGGTATCGTTACTGGAATCTGTTTGACTATGTCATGACTTATTCTTAGGATATTACTAACATATACCTGTTTTAACAAATATAGATACCTTATGTATCTCTAGTAATCCATATACTTTGTTTTGTATGTAGACCTGATCTTTTTATGTCACTTGTCTAGCTAAGCTCTATAAAAATTAAGACATTACTTTTGTTTTCTTCCTGATTACGTCCAGATATGTCTAAATGAGGATGTATTTAGAATTCTGTGTGAACAAGACATGCAAATTCTGTTTGTATACTTCTGCTTTTTTGAAAGTTGTTCTTTGAGCGACAAGGAGAAAATAATAAAATTATTCAATCATGGGACTAATTGAGTAGATGAAAACAATTTTGGGAAATGCAGTTCTGGCATCAAAAGATGTGCTGGGTGTTTTAATGCAGTTCTTCACAAATTGGATGACATGCTGTCTGAAGTGTGTGAAGAGCTATCTGAGAGAGAGGAAGGAAGGTGGTATAGAGAACTCTTGTTTGTTCCACAGAATTTCAGGTATTATTCTGGTCAAAAAAAAAAAAAATATTTAAAATTTGAGAGACCTCTTTTCCCAAGTTTGCAAGGAACACAAAGCAATGAAAGAATTGTACGAACTACCATTGATTTCATGGAGTTCAAACTCCAATACAACTGATGGCAATCAAAGTATATTATTCAGCTCTTTAGCAACTGGTATAAGAACAAAAGAGAATGTATCGTATTACGATGGTTTACATCATCTCTCCCTGAAGTGTTTTCCTGAAGAGATAGGCACTCAGCTTTTAGAATTTGCTCGTTGTAAGATGTGAAAGGAATGAAATTAAGTCCTTTGTGTGAGGCTGAATTTCCCTGAATTTATTTGGCCCAAGATAAGTGATAACAATCAGAATGCATGAAAAAGAGTACGCTTGTATTAGTTCATTTATACATCAGTGGTGTCCATATTCAAACTGTCTATTGCAAGGGCCTTATCTTAGCCATTGTGACACCCAACTAGTGAAGGTCCAGTTCAGGTGTGCCTTGAATTTCTACACAGGCAACAGAGAGCCTACCAACACAACGAAGAACTTGGGCTGTCAAGTAAGGCTCCTGCTTCTCTCCCTTAGAGAGTTTAGGTGCTTCATGGTAGTTGCCTAAATACTAAAGCAATCATATCTGATACGTAGCCAAATTCAGAGCTATATAGTAGGATCCTATGATCAGCCAGAGTCTCATCAATGAACCCATCTCTGAGGGTAGGCAGGTGAAGATGGAGGCATTTGCACAACTGTAAGGGACTAGAAACTTGTCTCAACATTGGTGGCAGGCAGGCCAGGTGTTATGTACTTGATCGCATAGTTGGAGAGCTGTGCTCAGACTGAGTAACCTGAATATTCTTCTTAGTTGTCTGTACACCATGCAGCAATGTGGTCTTGCTCTTGGTGCAGGGTTTGTACGCACTATTCAGTGCAAACCAGCCTAAGACTTGTGGGTGGAAAAGATCAGAGGGGAAATGCTTAGATGACCTTAAAGAGGTACAGGAAATTTCTGGTGGCTGAGGATTGACAGTAGTTATGGTACCTAACAGATTAGCTTTGATTTACTTTGGAAATATGTAATATCCTGTCACTTTGAAACTATTTCATTTTTCATGGCTATAAGATGATACAATTTACAACGTAGAAAAAAACCACAGATTGACAGCCCTAACAGATTTTCTTATATTACCTGCAAAGGCTTTGTTTTTAAGGTCTATTTCCATTCTTCTGTTTTCCAACTCTGTGGGAATAGCCTCAATGGAGCTCATAAACACAGGAAAACAGTTCAATAAATGTATGCTTCAGACAGTCTTGCACGTGGGCACAAAATGATCGAAGATTTGATTTAACCTCAGTTCAGTCACGATACTGAATTGTAGCTGGTGCCTAAAATGAGTCAGAGTGGCACACAGCTATTGTCCTGTGAATATACAAAGATCATCATTCAAAGACATAGGACTTCTCTTGTCATTGCAATTGTGGCGGGATTGTGTTGGTTTTGATTGAATAAGTAGGTAGCAAAATGGGATGAAAAAAGGGGTACCTCTTTTCTTCCTATTTCATACAATCATAGAATTATTTAGGCTGGAAAAGACCTTTAAGATCACTGCGCCCAACCGTAGATGAATCGTGTTTCAGAATTTAAATCTGTGTATTCTACAATCAACCACAGAGTAGAAGACAAAAACATTTGACGTTTATCTGAATGTCTTTTTTCTTTTTTTTTTTTGGTCTCAGACTTGGCCTTTCTCGCTTGATCTAAAACTTCTGCTAGGTAGTACTATGAACACAAACCTCTCTCTTCACTCAGCAAGTCTGCAAAGCATTCAGTTTCTCCCTCCCCAAACCCCTCGTCGGTTCTGTAATCCTTGCAAGCTGATGTTCCCAGGTCGCAGGCTGCTCCCTCTTCTGTGTCAGCGTACATCAGGATTCCTCAGTGCAGAGAAGCATCCCATGCAGTACTCTCCCAGCTAGGAAAGAAAAGAGCAGAGACAAGAAGGAGCATGCGCAGGAAGCTCTATTTCAGTGGAGCTTGATTTTATTTTAATACAAGATTCCGCACTTTCTGGGGTATGACTTGCTTGCTTGTTGCCTTTAATCTATGTATCAGCCTTATACACTCGAGAGTACTGCTAAATGATAGTCCTTTTGGGTAGTCCGTAGCAAGCTCCTTGCAGTCTCTAATGATGCAAGGTCTGGATCAAGGCCTGTACTGACCACACAAGTCCAAAGAATTAGTAGCTGGTATAAGAAGGAATCATAACCTGGCAAACCCATTTCAGTGAGACTTAGCTTGCAACCCCTAGCATCTCTAAATTTGGCTTCTCACCAATTTTAATTATTGGAGGCTAAGCTTTGGTCTCCTTCTTTCCCTGCCAAATGAAATTATCAGATTTTACCAAAGTAATGAGTCTGACAAGATGAGTTGTTATATCAAGGCAAAAGATCAGTATTTCTGTTGTAGATGTATTTAGGAAGAGGCAAAACTGTAGGGTCTTTTTTGTTGTTGGGGGTGGGAGTATGATTCTTAGTGTTTGTTTCTAGTCAGAAAAAAATGTTCCTGAAGGTGCTGTTTTGTGATACAGAGACAGGTTATGCAGATAAGAGAATCTATCAACTGCTCTACATTTGCAGCTTAATTTTATTAGGAAGTCAGCTGTCCGTTTGCTTCATGCTAGTATCCAGCTATTAAGATCTTCTTTCACGTCTGTTTCCCTTCCCGTTACAAAAACAATCTAGTTCACTGCTAGAACACACTAGTTCAATGCTTACTTTTTAAAAATTACTTTCCATGCATAGTTCTTCATAATTAGTTATTATGGGAAACCCACTTGGAAAGGACACTGTTTATAAAAAGGCATGCCGGAATGTTTATCTGGCCTTGGACTGCAGGAACCAGAGGATGGATGAATATCCTGCAGTTGTTTTTGCCATGATTATATCGTGGATGGCAGGTTGCCAGTAGCAACTGCAGTAAAGGGTCCAGAGTGTTAGTGTCTTCCCCTGTATGATAAAACAGAGAATATTTGCACTTTTGGAACCATCTCAGAGAGGATTTATGGCAGGTTTTGGAGGACTTGAAGTGATGAGATGGAAGTAGATAAGCTGCTTGCAGGTTGCATGCCAACCTGTCCTTCTGTTGGCTCCTCCAGGACTGGCACCACTGACTCTTTTTTTGCCCTTCTTTCTAGAACATTTAAAAGAGAAGCTGGAGGAATACATGGTCCGTTTTGCCAAAGTGAGGATTGTACGTACCAAGAAACGAGAAGGTCTCATTCGGACCAGACTGCTAGGAGCCTCGCTGGCTAGAGGAGAAGTCTTGACGTTTCTGGATTCCCATTGCGAAGTCAACGTGAATTGGCTGCCTCCCTTGCTTAGTAAGTGTATGAGCGTTCACCAGCCGTTAAAATTAGAGCATGCAGCATAGCCTAAGCAATCAAAGCCATGTCCGGCAATAAGCAGGACATACACTGTATAGAAAAGCTTGGAGCTGTGCTACAGTGTCTGCAGAGTCAGTACGACAGAGAAATACAAACAGCTCCATTTTATGGTTCTTGTGACTAAAGAACTGGTAAAATTTTGAAGTATCACTTTGGCCTATTAGAGTTATGACTTATTTTATTATTACTACCACTAAATACACTGCTAAATCTAGTGTTATGCTATGCCCTTGCTATCCATCTGAAAACTTTTGTTATGCGGGTATTGTACTCCTTCCTAGTCCTTGCATTCCATTAAAACAGCTTTTGCTGTAAATGTATCCAGGACCTCAGAGTTAAATCCAATAACAACTGCATTCACAATAGGAAGCTCAGAAAGAATGATTTGCTATTGACTGCTTTGCTGCATTCCAGCTGCAGCTGGCAAAGCTCCATTAGTCAAAGAAATGGAAAGAATCAATTGTTGTAGTCTAAGATTTCACTTCAGGAAACAACGTCCCCTTTTCTACCTGGCTACATGCAAACTGTATGTGCTTAGTGAAGTGACTGCTTTTTTGCTAGCAAAACCAAAGAAAATTTCTGAGTTTACTATTAAAGACATTTGTATTAATTAAGAGACTATGTCATAAGTACATGACAGGGTACGGTTTCACCAATTAATGGTTATAGTTTCTTGAATTTTGTGGCTAGGACCGGTTTGGCCACACAATAAACTGATAAAGCACTTGCAGCCAAGAAGAGATGCTGTTCTGCTAATCAGCTATCAGTTGAGACTAAAAAAAAAATACTGGTAGCTAGTTTTTGTTCAGATCAGTAACAAGATAATGTACAAAATTCCAGATTTACATCCTTTCTGGCTTTCACATCAGATTACACATACAGTCTATCCCCTTGTTAACCACTTTGCCCTTAATCGCAACATCAGCATTTTTAAAAATAACCTCTGTGTCTTCATGAAAAACCCAAACAGCATAAGGAGTAGAGAGAAATACAAGTTTCAACAAGCCTTCCTCTAGCAGCCCCTGACAAGTAGCTGTTAAACTCTCTGGTGTATTCTACAGCCACCTTTTCTCTGCTTTCTGATTTTGCCCTACCATGCATAATACATGGCCACTAATGAAAACATCTCAAGAAGATTCTCACTCTTGTCATCTGAAATCTTTTGCTAAGTTACTGCAGATGAGACCTAACTCTTCTATTTTGCTAACTTAGACATGGGAAAATTGCAAACTGCAAAACCAGTTCCTTTTCTTGCTTTCTTGTCTGAAATAAAGGTACATCTAGCTGGGTTTCACCCTATAAAAACTGAAAAATAAATTAGAATGGTCACACAGGATTCATAATTGCAGTTAGGTTGCAGTTGGGTATTGAACTGATGATCACAACCCTCAGCCTCAAGCCAGAAAACTGGAAAGATGCGAGAAGCTTCATCAGGGACCAAGTCCCAGTTGTCTTTAGTTCTCAAGTGGAATAAGATCTTTCTTGTTCCACATGTAGTAAAAATACCCTTAGCTAACCAGCCAGAGAATCTAGAAATTAATCTTGAGGAACACTGGAGCCCAGGATCAATGGGCTTTATTTTGAAAGAAAAAGTAGAGCATTACGTGAAGGAGGACAAATAGAGATGTCATTCAAGGAAACCAAAACAGAGGATATATTGGGTATTTATTGCTTTGAAGCTGCCCTATTTTAGCTCTGACTGTATATGCCATCTGTAGTGAAAAGTCCTCAACAAGAGCCCAGTTCAGTCTTGCTCTGGAGTGAAGACTGTGAGTCTTTGCTGAGATGGGCAGTAGTTTCCACTATTCCAAACATTTTTTTTTTCTTTTTTTTTTTCAAAATGAGACCTTGCAAGTTGGGGGGAGGAACCAAAAGCAATCACTTTAAAGATGGTTCTCAAAGTTATTTAGGCATCTAACATATTTTCAGAATTGTCTATTACTTTTTAGACCAAAGGTAGACTGAGTTATTTCAGTACTTGTTAGGTATCCAAGTAACTTTGTGGAGCTGAGCCACAGTTGTTTTCAGTTACAGTCCTTTGTGTTGTTTTCTTAAAAACAGGTGCAAAATGGCTTTTCTTTATTTTCTTTAAGCTTTATTTAGTTTATTTCTTAGTTTAAATGAGTTTCTAAACTGAGATAAGCCACTCTCAGATTTCAGAGAGTTTTGCCTGATGTTCACTGAGCAGGCAGCTGTAGTCATGTAAAAATGTTGGCGAGCACAGCTGTTTGTTTTCACTCCTCAGTAGTATAAAGTTGGCAGAAGGAAAGATGTGACTTGGGCTCCAGCTGCTGTAGGGGAGAGTCCAGTGTAGTGTGAAGTCGCAGTTACTGCAGGTAAGAAACCGAGCGGCAAACCAGCTGGAAGATGCAGGTACATCCTTCCTTCTGCTGATGTTGCTGTGGGAGCAGCAAGAAGGGAGACGGACAATAGCTCAGTAGTGCCATAGGCTACCAGAACTAGGTTTGTCAAAACGGATTTTTTTTTTTCCCTGACCAAGACTTAGAACTGTATTACAAACGAATCATGCTTAGCAAGTTATCAAGACACCTGCTAGCTGTAGCTGTCCATCTCTACAACATTTATATGATGTAGTACTTGCCAGTGGGGACACTGAGAGCACAAGTACTTATGACAACTCAGATAATAAGAGATAATTTGCTGAGCCACTCAAATGTTGTCAGCATCTGTAATCACATATTTAAGTAGGAAAGTAAGAGTATTTGCAATGTGGCATTGTTACTTTAACCAGGCCAATTTGAAGCAAGCACTTGAAATTGAAGGGGCGCGTCTTTCTCATGAAGATAAAACCTACATTTTTGAGATAGTGACTTATGCAATATTGAAAACTTCTATTTATTGTCACATGTGCACACTCTGCTTGACAGTAAAAGTTCAGAATTCACATATGTATGTATATATTGCTTAAAATTTCTAGGGAGAGAGTGCTGAGCAATGTTCCCTCTTGATCCCATGCTTTCCCTCCAATCGGCAAGATTTTTACATGTACAATGGTGCTTATCTGTCTGTTCTTCCCTTTATCTACAGCATATGTCCACTGAAATAATGCATGAGAATTTTCAGAACAGTAGGAATTTGTGAGAGGATAGTGAGTAAAGGCAAAAGAAAAGAAACTGTAAAGCATTTCAGCTATGACTTTCAGACTCCTGCGTTAGGAGCAGGTGTGATAAAGAGCAGTGGCTGGCAAAGGCAGCAGCATGTTCACATCTGTAAAGCCATGATACTAGCACCCTTGTGAAATGTAAGATAGCACTACAGCCCTTTTTTTCTGTTTCCTAAATTCATACTGGGGCTACATTTAAGCCTAAGAGGCATGTATACAAAATTCGTTACTTTAGGCATACTGAAAGAAATGTTGAGGCTGCAAGTTTGATTCCTCTGCCTTTTGATGTGCACAACTGTCGTGGTTTAACCTGGCTGGCAACTAAGCACCCTCTCCCTCAGTGGGATGGGGGAGAGAATTGGAAAAAAAAAGTAAGACCCGTGGGTTGAGATAGAGACAGTTTAATAAGAGAGAAGAATAACAATAGTAATAATAATAATGGTAAGAGACTACACAGAATATATAAAACAAGTGATGCACAATGCAATTTCTCACCACCCGCTGACCGATGCCCAGCCCGTCGCAAGCCACTATCACTCCCCCCCGAGCCATGATCACTCCCCAAGCTGCAACCCCTCTCCCCGCGACCGACCGACTGACTCCCTCCGAGCATGACGTTCTATGGTATGGAATAGCTCTTTGGTCAGTTTGAGTTAGCTGTCCCAGCTGTGCTGTACTCCGAGCTTGTTATGCACCTGACTGAGCAGGAGAAGCTCAAAAAGTCCTTGAGTAGCCTAAGCACTGCTTGGCAACAACTAAACACATCAGTGTGTTATCAACATTCTTGTAGTACTAAATCCAAAACACAGCACTATGCTAGCTACTATGAAGAAAATTAACTCTATCCCAGCCGAAACCAGGACAACAACTACAAAAACCCTGGTTTCTTCAAAAGTCAAGATCTTCTGTGGTTCCTCATCACCTCTGAAACATTTGGGGGGCTGAGGAGTAAGTTCTTCAGATACACACAAGAACAGGCAGGTAAGCATCATCTTCTTTGCAAAAAATCTTGCAGAGCTGTAGGAAGGAACACTGGGATTGAGTTTGAGCATTGCTCAAATAATTTTCTCTCTGGATATCTCTGTATGTGACCTGGAGATTTCCAATCCTTCAGTCTATTTAAAGGCAGTGGCTTTTAAAGATGAAGAGAAGGATACGCATGTATTATGAGTCTACCTTTGACCTGCTCCAGCCAAATCGATCCCATTTAGTTTCTCTCCTCCAATACATTTAGAAGGGGGGGATCAAAAAAAGATTATTATAAGCCCTATAACTATTAGCAGGACCATAACAGGAAAGAGATTGTGTAAAAAATGACTTCACATAACGATTACAGATAACACTACGCAGTATACCAGTGAATGTAATTCTATTTGGCAATAGCAACACTAATGCAGCCATTATGTCTGAGATGAGTTTCCTAGAATTTTGTGAGAGCCTGTGCTTTACCTTTATTTCACTATTAAAGGATAAGTATGTAGCACAGTAATTTCTTCCTAGCAGTCAGCATTGTTCCCCCGTTTGGACAGTCTGTAAACAACAACTGAGAATAAATATGAAAACTACAGATGTTTTGCTAACATAAACTTTTTTCTTAATTTCACTCCTTCAGAAGCAAGGAAGCAGAATCTGTATTATTAATCATTACACCAGTATTACCTGCATTCCCATCTAAGTGTTCATTCTACACTCAGCCCTCTGATTTTTTTAGGGTATTATCAAGCACCAGTGAAATCTAACCCTTAAAAACAAAAAATGAGTTTTCCACATAGGCCCTACAATGTATTATATTTTGTAAAGAATCTAGGTTACCATTTGGAGAAAAATCTTTATTAAACTTGGAATTTTGAGATTTTGTTTTTTCAAGGGTTCATAGATAGTTTTTCTACTGTCCTTTCATGCAAAAACAGCTACAAATTTTCCCTCTACTACTTCATTTCAAATCATTATTCTTCTGCCTAATTCTTTGCAGCTGAAATATCTTTCATTACTTTTCTTTCCTTTCCAAGGAGCTCTCTAGGATTAAGCAATAGGATTCACCAAAGGACACTCGGGACCACCTTGCTCTTATACTAGAGACAGGAATTTGATTTAGCCTCACTGTTCTAATTTTAAAAAATAAAAATAATAATAATAAAAAAAAACCAACAAAAAAAGCCAAACTCCAAAACCTCTTTACTTTAGAAAACAGGTGAGTAAGAATAATACAGTGGAGCCTTCTTTATATCTCAAAGATTGGCACAAAAAAGGATAGAAGCCCTGTTTGTTCCTCGTGTTGGAGTTTGCCTTGAATTTGTAGCATTTCATCTCAAAGCTGATGCACACCGGAGCCACAGGGATAGCGGCTGAATGGTTGCAAGGGCTGAGATTCACATCTGGGAACATAAATATCTCTCACAGGAGCTTGCCATACACACTCCCCGCAGCTGAAGGAGTATTTTTACATTTTGCTTGCTGGCTTGTTCCGTAGCTGACAGATTAGGGACAGCTCAGAGTAGCAAAGTGACAGAGATATAGATGACTGGACTCCTGTGGGTCTCACAGGGATATGCCTCCCTTTAAAGAACTGTAAATGCTTCTAATCATTGCCCAACTGCATTAAGTCCACTTTAGATAAAGGTTTGATACAGATTTGAAAAATGAAATTATTTGGGGGCCATAGGGGACAAAGCAAGCAATCTTCAAACATCAGAAAACCTGGGGGATTCGCTTTGCAGTAATATGATAGATGGCTTGACTAGACATGCCGTTTCCTATTTTCTACTTTCATTTTTCAGACCAGATTGCACTAAACCACAAAACCATCGTGTGTCCTATGATCGATGTCATTGACCACAATCACTTTGGCTACGAGGCACAGGCGGGGGATGCCATGCGAGGAGCTTTTGACTGGGAAATGTACTACAAAAGAATACCGATTCCTCCAGAGCTCCAGAGAGCTGATCCCAGCGACCCCTTTGAGTAAGTAGCGATAAAGGGGAAAGTGGGAACATGAATCAGAACAAGCAAAGAAGGTAACTGTAGCAGAAGAATCCAAGCTCAGAAATTTCCATTAGGCCGCTTTGTACTAATGAAAGGTAGCAGAAGCAAACAGCTTCTATATAGGTTTATAAAACCGCCAAACTAGGAAAAAGATCAGGGCAACAAGTTGCAGAATTCACAAGCTGTGCCTGGAAACAAAAATCTTCCCAATCTTTCCTCACCCAGTGTCTGTGCTTAAAAGAAATAGGCACATACTTGTAGTTAAGAGAAAGTATTGGCATTAGACAAGGAGTGAATGTGACTGCAGTTATTCTGTTTATTCCACAGAGCGCTTCCTGAACAGACTTTAGTTTAATGTTTTCTTTGCTGGAGATTGATGCAATACATGCGTCAATAGCTGAGTCCACATTCTGCCAACAGATGCTTTGTTTATGACTGGTGATATTGCTACTGTATATGTATTGCTGTAACTTAAACACAGGGCTGTCAAACCTGAACAGTGCTAAGCTGCTTTGTAAATAATTTTTGATAAGCCAGCCTCCAATGCCAGTATTGTATAGATCAGCTCATTCACAGGAATGATCATCTACTCTTTGCAAAGGTACATCCTTTTTTCTTTTCTTGTAATTATTCTCATGTGAAGATCAGCTGGGATTAATCCACATTAGCAGAGAGAGGACAGACAGGCAGACATGGTTCAGTGTGGCAAAGTCTCCAGGTCTCAGGCAGCATGCCTCCCAGCAGGGCTGGCAGCAGGACTGGCTCTGATGCTGTCAGCAGCCCTGGCTGAAACTCCACGGTGCGGGTTTCAGCAGTTTAAAAATTCAGCATTTTCCCCTCCCCAAAACAAAACCTGGAAACAGCAGCAACAGAAAACCTGTGTCTCTGTCCCAGATTCTGCGCTATTTTGAAGTAATGGATCTGATTCATGCAGAAATTGACCCTTATATCCATGGAATGACCAGCTCTTTACAGGGAGAAGTAGGTAACTGCGGCATTCAGTGGGCTTATTTTCATTATTCTACTTGTTCCTTTTTACTTATCTCTATCTAGGCCCATCAGTCTTCATCTTGCATTGGTGCAAGTGCTGATGAAGTACTTCCCATCAGCTGCCAGTGTGACTACTCCACAACATAGATGCAGCCTGTGCAATCACATAATGCTCTGGAATTGCTGGAGCCTCCACTGCACTTCCACAAGCCTTCCTGGTCCTCTGAGCAGTTACAATTTCTTGCCACTTACTGAAAGTCACCTAGCACATCCTATAATTTGGCTCAGCATTCGAAGTCTGTGTGTAAGGAAAACTTACATATTGCCAGTGTAGCTACAGGGTTGCTTATCAGCCATTTCACACATTTGCCGTTTGTAGTATGTATCTCCCAAAGATAAGAGAGGCCTGGCGAGGAGGTACTCATAGGAAACTTTCTAGAACAGGCGAGGCTTTGTGCAGTATGGAACAGATGTGGCGGTTTTGCATGAAGTGTTGTTACAGTCAGCACGGCAGCAGTTGATACCCACCTCGCCCTGCCTGTAATCCATAAGACACACAGATAAATGGCTATGCAAGGAACAACATATAGGACAATGCAACCTATAAATCTCTTGTAATCTGAGTAGCTGCCTCCCCAGAAAGGTGGCGAGGCTTGCCAGTTCTTACACAAGTCGATGAGAGTCTTCCTTTGTTTTCCCCATGGCAGGATCCGCATCCGAGCGATGCAGGGGGAAAAGCAGCGTTGCGCTTGGAATCGCCATGTCCCGCCCCCGCACATGGCAGCAGAATTGAAGGCTGGCTGAGCTAGGACAACATCTTTGCTGAAAAGTACCCTCGCCTAGAATAGCAAGGATATAGAAGTGTTTTAAATAATCTGTATGAATTTTGCTTAGGGGAGGAATTATTTTTTAATTCAAAGTCAGTACTGCTTTTCTCCTAGGGCCTTCTCTGTTGACACCTCAAGCTTTTAATACCTTGCTTACAAGTACGGTAAATGTTACAAACTGTTTTAGATATCAGTAACTTAATTGAATAAGACAGCTTCTATAGAATTAAAGAGACAGAACAGTTTTCCTATAGGTGCCTATACGCTAAAACTAGAAATGGCTTCAGCCAGCACCATAATTACTAAGGTTACTATTTTGTTAGCAGTAGGGATTTCTTTTTTATTTAGGTTAAATATTTTACTATTGGTATCCTAACAGCTTTTTTTCTTGCCAGCAGCATCAGATCTGAATTGATCCTTAATGAACTGGAAAATTGCCAGTGTTTTTAGTAAAACACCAGCAAATAATGGGTACGTGATCCAAAAATTGTGCTGATGAGGTTTTTTTCCCCTCTCTTAAAATGCCAGCTCAGTATGTGTGTTAAGCAGAAAAGGTCACATCAGACTAAGAAATAATGTACATAAAACCAGATCAAACTACAGAAGACCTAAGAGCAGTCATTGTATTATCCGAATGATATGTTTGCTTTCCATCTGCACATGATCAAAACCCTGCTGCAGCAGACGAGTGTTTGCTGTTGACGCAACAAACCGAAGTGTTGTCGCTTTTGGTGTGACTTTTATTGTGACAATAGCACGGAGCTTACTGAGGTCCAGCGCCTGCTGAGCTAGCGTTTCTGGAATTAATTTTTCCTCATTTTTTTTATTTTTATTTTTTTTTAACTGTCCACTATGGTCAGTGTTTGACAGGCAGTCTCCTTTTGGATGACATCTGTCTGGACACGGTCTTTCAGTTCAGAATCCATCTTGTGAATAATCTAGACATTCTCATCAGTTTGCGATGTGATTGTGGGCATGGGCATGTTTTATTGTTCATACACCTGCAGTGCTGCTTAGGCAGCATCTCCACCCTTCCCTGGGACACAGCTTGGAGCTTCGTTCCAGATCTCAGCTTTTCCTGATGTACACCCACGCCCATTCTCAGGCCCTCTGCAGTTGTGCAAGACGAGCAGCTTTACACCAAGATTTGGCTTGATGTTTATGACTTCAGGGCTGTATAACACTCTCAGAAGCTTCCAGCCTGCCCAGTGTCAAATTCAGGTACAAAATATGTATTAGCACCAACCTGGGAGTCCCATGACAAATTTATAACTGCATTTGGATCAGTTAGCGGTGTCCCTGCTCCTGCGGGGGGGTTGGACTAGATGACCTCTAGGGGTCCCTTCCAACCCAAAACATTCTATGATTCTATGATTCTATGATCTACCAAACTTCTCATTTTGGTTCACGTGTAGTTTGTCACTGGCTGCACCGAGTTTCCCATAGGTTTCACTGAACCAACCTACAGCCATATAAAATGCATTTTCACTCAAAACTCCTGTGTGAGTTATTGGATACTGCTCTACGCTCATTGTAGTGTTTAGGAAGGTTTAACAACTATTCCATGAATGGATCTCATGTAGCCTTTAAGATTGGCTATTTTTCTGAAAGATCTGTGTTGCTGTTTTTCAGGATACATTGAATCCTTAGAGGCATGGAAATTGGACTTCACCCCTAATAATGTTGCCTTCCCATCCAGAGACTAAATCTCTGAAGTCCTTGTTGATTTCCCTTTTTCATGTGCCACAGAAACAACAGAAGCTTTATATTGCATTCAACTGATCTGTCACACTTGCAGCTCATCACAGTTGGCTGTAGTGATTTTTCTCTTGCGATTCGTATGCAGCTACCCCAATACATTCTGAAGGGAGCTTCATGCTGTTTTCCACTGATGCATTCAGGGTTGTGTAAATGATACAGAGCAAAGTGATCTTCTGGTGTATTGTGGGGAAATTGTCAGTCATGAAATCATCATCATGTCGTGATGATGCTCACTGTCTTGATCCCAGGGTCAATGATCATTCAGCAGAATTTGAGATGATTTGGGAAATTTTTGTCCAGTCTATAAGCAGGGAGGACCAGAGATGTTTACCTCCTTTGTGGCAAGGATCACCTTGGTGGCAAGGATCACCTTGGCTAACTGTCCCCCAGTGGTTTTTTTCTCTGTCACAGCAGAGGTTTGGGAGCATGCCCTGATGGTATATAAGGGTTTGGGACATAAGAGCATGCCCTTGTGTGGCTGTTTCTTTCTGTGGTGCAAGCACTCTGGTCTGTGGAGGAGTTCGCCTAACCCAAGAGGTTGCCACTTAAACTAATAGGATAACCTTGTTACTATAATGGACTGTGATATACAGCATGTCAGTTTATATGATTTAATAGCCTGTCTGGGATAAAAGCTCTGTGGAAGTTTAAAGCAGAGGTTTGATACGCTTAAGCCTGCTGGGGATGACTGCTCTTTATTTCCTGGCAGCACTTACATTACATCAACTCATGTTATCACATGCCGGATCTGAAAACGGGCATCAGCATCCATTCATGCCAGCAGCAATGTATTTTTAACCAGATAAGAAAACATCAACAATTCAGCTCAAAAAGCTATTTGGAAAAACCACAAACTAATTGAGAGGATTAATATAGCACAGATCTATTAGGGTTGGAAAGGGCTGCACAGCTCCTCGGAGCAGTTTTATGGTGGTGTAACTTTATGACGCAGGAGGGAGGGAAAGATGAAGGTGAGACCTAACAGCACCGCTACTGGATGGCAAGGTGGAAATCCTAATCAATGAGAGAAGTGTTGTGCTACTTACTGGATGCCAAGACCTCTAGAACCTATTTGGGAGAGCTAGTAGTTTTTTGGGATACGACCAGTCCTTGGTCTCCAAGGGTTCCTTTCTATGGCAGCCTGTTTGCCTTCTGACATAGAGCTGTCATCTCCAGACCTCCCTGAAAGGGAATGAAGCTGGAGAATCATGTAATTCTAGCAAAGGACCAGAATAATAGTTTGGCAAATACTGGGCTAGCTGAGGAAGTAGAAGCAATTTTGTAACCTCTGGCGAGACATTTTAGTTCTTGTACTCAGTTTCCCATTTATAAAATAAGAATAGGATCACCCCGCCATCGCAAGGCTGCTTTAGGTATGAGGCTGGAAAAGGTTATAGGTTT